AAATGAAGAAAGACCATCGCACTAAACCACACTAAAGTTAAAATGTGAGTCACAAATAGATAACAACAATATGTGTAACTTTACACATAAAACATTTACATTTCTTTTTAAATATTTTCTGGATCATTTAAAAAAGAAAACTAAGTACACAAGCACAGTTATCCGCTGTGTATTTATATTAATAGTGTTAAAATGTCTAACTGTGAATGTGTGAGCAAAGACTGCAACAGCAGTTACGTTCTTTATAGTAATTTATTTTATTACATACTTTTTATTGATTCAAAACCATTATGAATATTTTTTCACATGCAGCAGTGAGGAAAAACAAAAATATACAGGATTATTATATTGAATAGCATCAAAACCATAACCTGAAGGATTTCCAGTGTTGAAATGAACGACTGTCTGCACTCCACTTCAAAATGTCACCCACTTTCCCCATCACTTCCCATCAACCAGAAATGGAAACAAGGTGCTGAATTCACAGCGACTTAAAATGAAGTTACTTGTTCCATCCCACATATGTGATACTCCAGTTGTTTGAGGATAGACATCCTCTACACACACACACACACACACACACACACACACACCTTTCCGTTTCACCCTGCTCTGAACCCATCCAACGTGCAGAAAGCTAAATAAACATATGTGGCGAGTCATTCCCAGAGTGCCCCACCACCGCTCACCTAACCACCCACACATCCACCTACCGGCCCTCCACCCTTTACACCCCCTTCACCCACAGAACCCCTCCACCTCCACCCAGCCCCTCTTCTACACTCAGGTTTCACCTCTCGGTTTCCTGCGGCTCCCAGTCACACTGACACACACACACACACTCTTACACTCAACATATTCACTGATGCAGGAGCAGCGTCTGCAGAACAACTCAAATTGTTTGATTGAATAACAGCAAGTAATACTTAATATTTAAGGGAAAATCAATGATGAGTAAATGTCCAGTATTCAAAATTATACTCAAAATGAGCAACACTTTAAATAGTAAACACAGTCATTATGTAGAATGGTCTTTTGTGGAGGTTTAGCATACATTATTATTATTATTATTCGTATCATTAATAATAATATATCATTATCACCATTATTGTTATTATTATATTTTTTAAATGTATTATAAGTTGCATTTTGATATTGCAGCTTGTTGAGCTGGGTTTAACTTTACATATATTTTATAGTGATGGATGTTTATATGCATATACAGAATATTGAATAAGATAATTAAATATTTTGTGTAAAAACTTTTCACTCTTTAGAATCTAACAAACGTTATGGAGAAAAAGTACAATATGGAGTAAAAGTACCTCATGTGTGTCGAAGTACAGTACTGTAGATACTCTCCAGTTACATTTTGTCTCAGAAATCGTTAAAATTATTTTTAAGGAACTCAGTGCAAAACGTTCTTATAAAGACTTTAATTATTTGGTACAGAGAAAATACTGGTATCTTTTTTTGTTCTATTCATCTGACTTAGTTCCTGACCTTGTTTCAGAGATGGAAAAAAAAAAATATCTGACAGAAAAACACATGAAACCACACTGGAAATTGGTGTTATGTCTCCTTACATAGGCAGGATTCCGAAAAAAATATATTTTCTCTGTCTGAATATGACATTAGTTTCATTGAGCATGAAGTATAACATTTTCATATGGTGTGTGTGAGTGTGTGTGTGTGTGTGTGTGTGTGTATGTGTGTGTGTGTGAAAGTAGATATGAGCGTGTGGATCCACTGCAGGGTCAATTCAATCTCATTTCAGGAAGTGAAGGGAAATTCCAATTCAGCAGCGAAGATTTCACATTTCATACCTATAGGTTCATGAAGGTTTATCATGCAGAGATAGATGGAGAGATAGATGATCCCTCTCTCTCTCTCTCTCTCTCTCTCTCTCTCTCTCTCTCAGTCTCTGGCAGTGGGCTGGGGTCGCAGGATTACCTTCTGTCAGCAGCGTGACAGCTGTGTACATCTGGTTGTGTTGGGGCCTCTTACAGCTCAATCCACACGTCGTTTCGCCGGTGTCTGGGCCTCCGGACTCTCTGCCACTGCTCACCTCATTACCGACCGAGCCACACCTCCATCTGTCCTCCTAATATCTAAATCCTACTGCAGATTAGAGGGGGGGGGGTCGTGGGCCTGGAGGAGGGAGATGGGTGAGGCGGGGGGAGATGGGAAATAAGATCCAGGAGGAAGGGTTTGTGCGTGGCACATGAGGTTTTATTAATGATCTCCAGGGCTGTGTGGTGGTGGTGGGGTGGAGGGGTGTAGGGGGCGAAGCGGCTGCTTTTTATGAATTGAGGCATGTTGGGGGGCTTGTGACCACTTCTGTGAAAGACAGAGAGATGACATCATGATTATCTAAAAAAACATCTGCATTCTAAGTTTATTTACTCAAAATTAACAGAAGTCGTTGTTTGGAAATTGTCCTTTAAGTGATCATAATACTTTTTGTGTTCAAATCTAAAGGATAAGCCAAAATTGTGATGATGTTTAACAAGTATCATGCGAAGATCGAAACAATATATTGATCTGCTATAAAGTTTTGCCTCATTCCTCCGTCCCACACGGCTTCGTAGTTTCTAACAACTATTAAAAACACATCAGGGAGTCTCACTGTTTCACTGAGGGACGAGTTTCATCTTGACAATGAACGTGGACAGAACTGTTTCTTCACACAATCCCACTGCTGTAAATATTCACTATAGTCCCTGAATGTGCTCCCCAACACATTCTATATGCACAGTATTTAAATGTATATGGATTTGTAACTAGTGAGTATATTAGGAGAGATCTCTATAAAAGATGCTAGGGTTAATTCACACTGCAATAGTTAAAGTCTGGGTGACACTTTCATTGTATTCAAACATATATTTTTTGTAATATTGGTTTAGCAGTTTTTTAAATTGAAGTTTTTATTTCCCTGAGAGAAGAGGATATTTTAATCGCCCAGTCTTCGTACGTCTGCATCAAAGCATGATGAGCAGTGGTTCACAAAACAGTCTCACCACAAGATCCACACAATAGTGTCAGCAATAGTGGTTGCGATTCAATTTCTAACACTGGAAATGTTTTTCTTCTTTGCGTAAATCTAAAATAAATTGCTCTTTCAAAGAACGAAATTAAAATGCCTCTGGCTGAGCTGTCATCAAAATGAAAAAAAAAAAAAAAATGTTTTATGACAGGAAAACAAAGAAATCAAACAAATCTATCAGTGTAGCTGGTACTAAAACTATCAAAGTTCAGTCATTTAACAAGAAACAAGGTTAAAAACTTATTCTCTTTTAATTCCATTTAATGGCTCATAAAGAAGATTGGAATCTTTTGGTCGTCATCTGAAAAAACTGCAACATGAGCCAAACACTTCCTGTAAGGACTACTCGTCCTCAACATTGCGGATGGACGTGGTTTCGAGGTTGGATGTGACTGTGACACAAAGACAACATGTGGTCCAGTTTTATGGGTCAGTGATTGAATCAGTGACTGTGAAGATTAAAAAGCTCTGCAGCCGTGTACTTAACATTCACAAACTTTATGAACTGCACCAAAAAGCGATTCAGCAAGATGGTGACGGTTTTATCTGTTCAGTCATTTTTTAAAGAAAACTGAAGCACACCACCTTCATAAGTGAGCTGTTATTATATAAATGTAGACTTTGTGTTAATACGTAAAAGTGCATACTTGTCTGGATGGTGGTTATATGTTCCTTTAAAAGTACAGGTTTTTCTTAATCTCACAAAATCAACAAGAATTCAACTTCCCCATTTTTATGTCAGGCAGATACTAAAAATATATTCACTCCATTGTTAATACATTGATTATCTTATTAAAATGTCCCATAACTTTTGACTAAAATCCATAATTCAAAAAGAAGAAAAGAATCTGAAGAAACATTAAGACTCAGTTTTATCTGCCTGTAATGATCAGATAACACAATATCCAACATATGTTATAAATATGAACATGCTTAAATTCTGTTTTGTCGTTTTTAAAAGATTTTTACTCGCTCTCCACTACTGGTGTTAGATAAGTTTAAAATAAATCTGTGGGCACATTGGAATGTTGTGAGAGACACAGGGATATGCAGTGTGTGTTTGTGTGTGTGTGTGTGTGTGTGTGTGTGTGTGTGTGTGTGTGTGTTTGTCTTTATTCGCAGAGAGTGTAACCTCTTATCATCCAGACAGATTACACAGCTATCAGCCAATTGAGGAACACACTGTAATGACAAAGTGAGGAATGTGTCTGGGTTACACGGAGCTGAGCCACTTATCAAACACAGACGGAAAAAAAAAGCCTCTCTGACTTTAATACAAACACACAATATGTTTTAAATGGGGATCATGTCTCCCACTGAGAGCAATGTACTTCACTTCTGAGCTGCTGCTGCAGCCACATTTACAGTATAGACTGTAGCATAGTGCCACCTAGTGGTCAGAGTGTTTTTTTTTATGATTCTCATCGTGTTGTTTTTTCATTCTATGTATTTCATTGTTTCTGGATGTAAACAAATATGAGTCTGATTACAATTAAACACATTTCCTCAAATTTTAAAGGGGAAACAGTACATTTTCTATATATATAATAATAAGTATATATATTTTTCACATTACACTTATTCTGTTCTTTTTGGTGCAATTTGGTTTATCTTGTTTTTTTAAATATGTAGATAGATGAATACTGTATTGATCCAGTAGCAGTAACATACATTGAACATACATTAGAAGTAAAAGCTTTATAACAACTATAAACTATAAAGTGACCGTGGAATTAAAATGTTTTATACAAACATGAGTGGTACAACTACAAATCTACAGCTTGGGATAAATGGGGATAAAGGACTGTGAGCAATGTAGACAGATGATTGAAAACATGGAGGAGAGTTTATTCTGCTGATAAATCAAATCAAATACACAGACGCACAGTTGAGGCTGTAAGGCGCTGACGCGGACTACGTTTCCCATGAGCGCTCTGGTGCTGCAGCGCGAGGTGAAAGGTCGTGTCGTCACGGTGAGGTAATAACAAACATGGCGGGGCTCAGCACGGCGCGGTGCCTGTTCCGGAGCTGCTCCCGGATCAAACCTGTCGAGAGGAGCAGACACGTGTGGATGAGAAGCGGCGTCCGGACGTTCGGCAGCGGAGCTCAGGACTCAGGTCTGTTTCCGTCACGTTCGTGTTCACTTCCTGTGGATCTCCTCTGTGACTCTGACCTTGCTGCAGGTTTCATTTCTCCTCCTCTGTCTCTGCTGCTCCTGCTGCTGCCAAACTCCACTCACAGATCTGAGCAGTCCAGGTTTGAATAACCTGCTGTGCAGAGGGACGCACATCGTGAACACTGTTCAGTGTGTTTTACAACAGTTTCAAGTCTGCCTATTAATTCGGCTGCGTTTAAAAACACAAGTAAAACTTCATTTTCAGTAGCTGGAAAACTAAATATCTATCCATATCATGCTTTACTTTCAGTGACTTCATTATTTTAACCAGCATCAGTCCTGGTCACTTTATTTGGTCTTTATGCCAAGTATGGGAAAGTGGGTTCATCTTGATTTTAACAGTATTAAATATGAATTTGAATCAGAACCTACAAATGAAAGCATCAGAACGTGGATTATGTAAAAAAAATTATTAAAAATAAATCAATTTTAATGGATGTCAATGGTGAGGTTTTTGTCCCAAAATGATCAACACTTAAAAAAAGGGACAAAAATGTGGAATTCATTTGAAAATTCTTTAAATACTGGTTTAACACTCTGTGACTCGTAGGGTGTTAATTGCTTTTATTCAAAGGTTTGTCATGGACTGTATTTAAAGATGTATGACATGGCTTCTTACTAAAAGTGACACTAAAGTGTCTCGATCGCAGACTGGTGGCTGGCTGCAGGTCGTAAACCACATCAGATGAATTTTTCTCAAAGATGGTTTCTGTCATTTTAGTTCTATCCCACTGACGTATGTTCAGTTGTTCATGTTTCTGCTAACTTCAGTTTTAATTTGTTATCTGACACTATGAAAATGTGGTGATTGGTCGAGCACGTGTGTTAGAAGGATCTCGATACCACGGCTCCATCCCCCTCTAGCTGCTGCTCAGACTCCGGTTCCAAAATCGTAAAATGGCAGCGTTCACATTGGGTTCACTCTTGGTTAGTGGGAGGAAGTGGAGACACGTCCTCTGTGGTTAAACGTCAGATGTCTGCTCTTTGAAACTGTAAGGTTAAGTTTATCTGTTTTACCAACATACCTGGGACGGGTTTGGTCTGTGGCAATGTTTAGTAAAGTGAAGCTAAAGCTAACTCAGTATAGCTCCATTCTTGCCCAGTGTTGACCATCCCTCAGCTAACACGTTTTAAATGAGCACAGAAGGTAACATTGTGTTTTACATACGCCGACCTGCACATTGCACAAAACATTATCTCGTGTGATTTCCTCCACTGGCCTCTCAGACAATGTGAAGCCCCGGTTCACAGATGCAGCTGTGCAGGACATCCTCACCAGGATAACAGGCCTGGACCTGCAGAAAGTGTTCCGACCCATCAAGCAGAAGCTGAAGCCGCCCACATACAAACTCATGACTGAAGAACAAGTGGAGCAGGTGCCCTTTAAATAACCCATAACATCCCTGGTCAGTCATACAAACACGTAAAAGGAAAACTTTATGTCATCCAGTAACTTGTCTCTCTCTTCAGGCCGTCATGGAGGCCGCAGAGCAGGCGAAGAAGCTGCTGGAGATGCCCCCCGTCCTGCCGGAGAGGAAGCCCATCAGTGACGTTCTGTGTGAGGATAAGATGCTGGAGGGCATGGACACGGCTAAACACGTCTTTACAGACATCACATACAATATCCCACACAGGGTAAACACACACACACACACACACACACACACACACACACACACACGTTGCTACTGTTTGTTATGTAGATTGAGTAAAAGTTGTGTATTGCATTTACAGATGGTAACAGTATAAAGATCTATAATTAAATGTCACTCAAACAAATCAAAGTGTGATTATAGCTGTTTTTAAATGGTTTTAATGTCTAATTCAATTTTATTTGATATTTTAATGTCAATAATATTTCAAACACATGAATTTAAGTTGATCAAGTTTGTAAATCATTGTCTAAGGATGGTTTTGTACCTTGGTGTTGACTCAGCAGATTTGTATCGCTCACATTTGTCCCGTCACACATTGTGTGCGCTGTGTGTTTCCAGGAGAGGTTCATTGTCGTACGGGAGCCCAGCGGGACTCTTCGGAAGGCGACCTGGGAGGAGAGAGACCGGCTCATACAGGTCTACTTCCCCAAGGAGGGACGCAAGCTCACAGCACCCCTCCTCTTCAAGGAAGAGAATATGAAAGTAGGAAATGTCAAAATGTTTTAATATTTATGTATCTTAGACATTTGAGACATTCATCCCTGCCACTTAATGTACATCTGCTTAGACTGACTGTGTTCTTCAGACCTGGGTCACTGTTTGTTTACTGCAGGTAATTAATTTAGCAGTAGTTTAATCTTAAAGATATGAACAGACCCATGTGTTCTGCTGTTAATACAGATGAATGATAAATGTTATCCTCCCTGACAGTGGAGCAAAGTTGTGTTGTAAAGGGAGATCTGTGAACACCCACACAGTCCTGAAAGAAAGAAAGAAAGTGAAAACCTCTGTATCTAATCAGTCTCTCTCTCTGTTAGATGGTGTTTTCTCAGGACCGGCACGAGGATGTGTTGGACCTGTGTCTGGTCCAGTTTGAACCAGACTCCTCAGAATTCATCAGGGTAAGATGACTTTGAGCTTCTTGTTATTTTGACCCGATCACCACCTCAGCTGAAAGACCGCAGTCTGTGCAACCATGAAATGTCCCAAGTCAGTTTCTATATTTTTAAGTCATCTGATACACAGAGTAAAATGGAAGGAGTGGATGATTTGGAAGTTTATGAATCTCATGTGATGACGGTTGTGTGTTGAATGTCTGCACACGAGAGAAAATCCCCACGACGTGTGTAATGAATCTCCTGGTATTTAGGTGCACGCCGCCACGTATGAGGACCTGGACAAGCATGGCAAGTACGAGCTGCTGAGCTCCACCAGACACTTCGGAGGCATGGCCTGGTACCTGGTCAACGCTCGCAGGGTGGACGGGCTCATAGTGGACATGCTGAAGAGAGAGCTGTGAGTTTGTCTGAAGTCGTGAATACACAGACTCTGTAGGGGAGGGACAAGATATTGGAGCTGGAAGCCTTCTGGTTAACAGGCCGCAGGTTAACAGTTCATGTGGAGAGCTAAAGAGGTAGAACGCATTGACTGGAGCTAAAGAGGTAGAACACATTGACTGAAATGCTCCAAAGTGTTGTCTGGACCTAAAACACCTACAAAAGCTATCAGTGTGTTTTACGTGGAGATGTTTGACAGTAAACAGTGGCCTGAAATTTGCTGTGGTCACTGGAAGCCCCCAAAAATACTAGTGTTGCTTCTCGACAGCCGGTGGACTCAGATTGGAGGTGGAGGTCTGACAATAATGTTTCATACAGGTGTTTAAACTTACTAGGCCATACCACTGTATGATGTAAGCCCCCAGTATCTATGTATGTACACGTGGCTAAATTATACTACTATGTTTTTATAACAGGGTTTTAGTCGAATTGGACTAATAAGAACCAGGAACTGTTTCCAAACAACTCAACAGCATTTTCGAAACTTCAGTTTTTTTCCTCAAGTTTTCAGTCATACATTTTTGGAGTTGTAGTTGTGTGTATGCAGCCTGTGTTAGTGTGTGTGTTTATTTGCTTCCAGGTTTAAGGATGCCGTGAGCCTAGTGTCTCTGTTCCACATGGTCCACCCCAACAGTGAGTCAGCCCAGGAAGCTGCCAGCCAGCAGGCCACTGGTACTGACCTGCTGAAGGTGAGAGCAGCTCGACCCTGAACAGAAATATAACCGCTTGCTCCTCTTTTCCACTTTGATTCACTCAGCTGTGTGTGTGTGTGTGTGTGTGTATATAAAACATCACCATTTGATCCTGAAATTGTTCAGGTCATATAAGTTGCGTCCCCAAGGCAATGAGGTCCATCAGGAGTCAGGTAGCTCTCGAGAGGTCAAGTCAAGGCCGTCTCATCTAAAGTTTCTCATGTGGGAGGTTTGAGTTTTTCTGCAGCGTGGGAACTGCGGGGCCAGACTCAGGACACATCAGGTCTCATTAGCGCTCGCAGCCCCTCAGCCTTGAAGCAGCGAGGAGGGACATTGAGAATGACAGCTATTTAATGTGAAATGTTAGCAACAGGAGACACGGGTGTGTTTCTGCTACAGTCACTGTCACGCAAGACCTCTAGTTTAGTCACGGTACGTTTTGGAGCACTTTCTGTTTTTCAAGTCTGCCACTGAAACTGTTATCGTGATTTTAGTCTTAGAACAGTTTTATGCGAAGCCTCAACTTCAAAGTAATTGCCGTGACCTTTTCTAGATTCCTCCATTTTGCTGACCTCTGACCCTTGTTCCTGCAGATCTATGCCCAGAAGGAGTCCCAGAGGTCGGGCTACATTGAACTGGCCCTGCAGGCGTACGAACAGACGGCCGCTGAAGAATCTGCTGCCTGAAAGACCCACTCCTAGACAGAAATACACAAATTCAATGACGAGGAGCACCGGGAACCACTTCCGGAAAGACGGACTGAGTGAATTTTCTGTTACTTGACTGCTGGGTCCAAGAGTAGTAACATGTGCTTCTGGACTCTTTTTTTACTTTACAGTGTGAAAATAGCTTTGAAACATCTTGTCCAATGAAAAGTCTGTCATTACAACATCTGTATGAGTTTTACATTTGGAGCTCTGAGAAATGTGTAGATGGACAAAAGAAGTGGAGAACATTCGGGTCACAGGCCCAAATGATGTACATAACAAAATAAAGATCTTTGTACGTGTGAGATGTGTTGCAGGAGTGAAACAACTTAAATTCAGGGTAACGAACTGGGAAAGACTTTATTAAGAGATGGGCATTTGATTCACTTTTCAAGTTCAGATGCTTGGTTCTGTTATAGCTTATTGGATAAACATTAAGCTTAAAGTCGTTTTGATTCAGGATAAGATGTCAAATATAAAGACATAAAAAAATAAGACAGACACAGTTTAACCAAAGTGAAAGGATTTGTCCTTGTGTTTGCATTTAACATTTTTCAACAGAGGAAAAACATCAAGAATTCCTCAATGGCTTTTAAAGACCCATATCAATAGTATGAGGTAATAAGAGAAAAGATTAAGGCACAACTGGGATTTGAACCCAGGATCTCTCGTTAACCAGGCAGGCACTTTCACCAACTAAGCTACAGCACTGCTGTAAAGAGGAAGCACAAGAAATTTTAGTTGCATGAAGATGTGCCATCAGCTGGTGAAACCCCTACAAGTGGGACGCGTACGCCCCCCATTGTTCTTTCATTGTAAACTGATGACACTTTAAATACTTTTACATGACTATTTGAACATAAATTGTCTAAACTGTAGAAAAACGGTTTAATCATTTGCCACCCACATCAGTCTCCGCGAGAAATAGTTATGGTGACTGCAATGTACACAATGCCACATTTCAAACACATTTATACAAAACCCCACTTATCCCCATTTCTCATCAAAACCCAACAGCTTCCCTTTCAGTTTGCAGGCTTGTTCTTTGGTTGGAATAAAGCCTGGATCAATCAAAACCGTTCACACTAACCTCATGGAATATAAATTTAGTTACAAATCCATATCAACATGACTGTTTCAGCTTGCATCCCAAAAAACGTTTGTAAATTAAGTTTCAAAGGCATGTGAGTCTGTAAGCCTATATCACGGTCCTTTGTGTTTGGTCACTGAAACACTGGAAAAGAGTTCGGCTCTGTTCTTATTCACTCATTAAATCGTCATCCAGGTTGATGTCTGTAGTGTCGATATCCTCCAAGTCAAAATTGTCCAGATCCAGATCCTCCAGGTCCTACAGGGGGAGAACATTTGTGTTTAGCAGCAAGGCAGCAACAAGTGTATGTCTACGTATAATTACGTCTAATATTTTGCCTTATGTTTAAAAAGTGCTTTACCTCGTCATGAAAATCCACCTCAAGATCCTCTGCTGGTTTATCAGCTCCGTCTGATGCCACGCTTGTCTCTGTAGGAGCTTGTACTGCTGATAAAACCAGTGACTCTGCCTGCAGGGACACAAGAGGCTCCAGGCTGTCCTCTGGCCTTCCTGTGGACTGTCCCTCTTCTCTTGGTTCGTCGGCTGCGTCTGGCTTTAACACTGGCATTGTATCATCAAGCGGGTCCATCAGTGGGTCAAGGACAAACCCTGTAGAAGTCTCGACTTGCACAGGCTCGTCCAGCACTGAGCTGTCTGTGTTTTCAAAGGAGATGAGCTCCTCCACTGCGACCGCTGATGGTGCTATTTCCAAAACCTCCTTAACAACAGAAGTTTCTTCCTCTAATGCTGCTGCTGCTGCATCTATGATGGGTGGTGCATCGAAAGAGATTACATCTTTTTCCAGCTTGTCACAAACAGGCATTTCTTCAGATGCTGTTGCTTGTTCATCTACGTCGATTGTTAATAATGCAGTGGTAACTGGAACATCGTTGGTTGCTAAGGTTTTTGTTGCCACCGTTTCCAGTTGTGCTTCTGTTGCCATGACGGTCTCTACTGTTGTCTCAGTGATGCATGTTTCAGAATCAGGAGCAGCATCAGTCACTTGGGACATTTCCTGAACATCCTCCTCAACTGAAGATATGACATCCTCTACAGGTGTGGACTGTACCATCTCTGGCTCTTTAGGGGTACTGTCTATGATGGACTCCTCCAAGATGTCTTCCTCTACAGGGTCTGAAGCCTCCTCTGATGTAGTGATGGCCTCTTCCCTTATTGCTGCCACCTCTGGTTCAGTTGCAGCCACCTCAGAGGAAGCAGGCTCTGTTTGTTGGGGGTCTTCATCCTCCTGAGTCATGGCGACAGGAAGAGGTGAAGCTGCTGATGGAACGGATTCTTCTTCTGTTGTTGAAATGGGATCAGTCTCCTCCTGTTTTACTGGAACTGGTTCCTCCACTGCTGGTGCTGCTGCTTCTACTGTGAAGCTTTCCTTCATGCTTTGCACCACTTCCTGTATATAGAACACACAAAATCTTTGTGGTGAGGTTTGAGGGGTGAGGGGTGGTGCAGCAGGCAGAGGCATGACCTAATGTATGAATTCTGCAGCAGAGATCATGTGTTTTTGTTTACAGCACGTCTTATCACCTAAAACCCCCGTAACATTTTCGGTGGAGTCTTCTACACCGCCTTTTCATTCAGAGATATTTGTTTTCTTTTTGTTATTTTCATCAACACGCCCACTCAGGGCGGTGAATCCTGCTGAGAAACTCCTGCTGCGTTCTCACTCGCCTCCTTCAGATTTGTTGTATATCAAACATATTTCACTGGCTCTTTCAGATACAGATATTCTGCACACATTTATCGAATGTATAAACGTTACTTCCTGGCTTTATCCAATTCTTTGGTTTATGGTGGTTCAGACATGACTGTCTTTATGTTATTGTTTGGGTGGCAGTGGCACTGTGGAGAACAGCTCAAGATGATCAGATTTGCACTATGGTGCATCATCAAGGTATAAGGACTATTCTTAACGGGTTTAAGCCAATCTGTTGAACCTGCTAGGAAAGTATGTCAAAGTAAAAAATTTATTTTCTGTTCCCAGTAGAGGCCAATTCGGCCAAAAGATGTCTTCAGGTCTGAAAGTTTGGGAATGATCTGATGGAAGGATGTATGGATAATGTATAATATAATAAAGCGATAAAGGATAGATATCAGGGAAAGGTGAGGTTAATATTTATTGACCAATCTGATATAGTTGGCTCTTTAATTTTTTTGTGCTGTATTAAACTGTTTTCTTTCTTTGTGAGATGATAACAAAAAATATGAAGATAATTCCTGGAGGACATAACAAGAGTTTGCTCTCTGTGTATTTTATCTTGCGCTGCTGCAGCCTCTTTGTTGATCTGACGATATTCAATTTAAACTTGTTCAGATTCTGGTTCTCACCTCTGGCTCGCTGAATTCCTCTTTGGACACAAAACCTGCAGATTCCTCCAGAACATTACGATCCTCGTTCGGCTGAAAAGCAGAGAAACAAAAACAATTTAATCTCAAACAGGTAGTTGATATTTGACGGATGCATTAAATGATAAGAAACAGCACACACTTTGATGCATTAAATAACCGTAATAATATTAAATTTAATCTTTATACCCAAGGATGCTTTACATATTTTAAATTGATGTGACTTGCACTGACCATGATGAGAGGGTATTCTGCAGCCGGTCTGACCCTGACATGAGTCTCCTTCAGGTACTGCTCAGCCAGCAGGGTTTGCTGGAGGCCAGGGAACAGGTTGGCGTACTGGGTGGGGTCAGCCAGAGCATCTGCCGCCTTCTGGTTGACCTTGGACAGACTCTCCTTCCACAGGCGCACCACCCTGGAGGAGCAGAAGTGTGTACAGCTCACTACTGATGCAAAATGTAAATGTACACAGATATATGGATTTATTTTTTTCCTCAAAAAGTTTCGGGGGCAGCAACTTTTTTAACACTAATTTTGACCTTGTAAAAACTTTTCTTCCCTGGGAAACACACAGTTCTGCAGGATATGATATAAATGAATATAGTTCACTGAGTTTATGGGCATATGCTGAATACAAAATAGAAATAATGTTACCTTGGCACATGGCTGGGCAGGTATGTTCTTGCCAGGAAAGCAGCTTCTGGCAGTCGATCTGTTTTGATGAGAAGGTCCAGACATTTGTCCAATCTGGGAAAATACACAAAAATGCAGATGACAAAACAAATAAAATTAGAAAGCTGACACAAATAGAGGGATTTGAACAAGTCATCACGTCACTCAACGCTCCTATCTAGTTTCTCCATCCACTCACTCCCACACTCACCGTCCTTGCATGAAGTAGGTGAGGAAAGCCACGTTTGTCTTGCCATCCTTCTCGGCCCCCTCAGCCAGCTTGCCCACCATGCTGGTGTTGCCCGAGGCCGTGGCCAGCAGCAGTAATCCTCCGTAATCTTGAGCATGGTTCAGACACTCCTGGGCCAGGCTAAACTGGCACTTTGTTGTCGCCAGTTCTGCCAATTGCTTCCATTTCTGCTCTGACTGGAGCCCCCACGTGCCAAAGTGCAGAGGAAACAGAAGAGAGGATTATCACAGGAGGAGGAACATGAGCCTCCACAACAACACAATGTGAAGCAGCTAAAGCAGGAGATGTTGTTGCTCACCCTATCAGACCTATGACTGACTCCATTTACAGAACAATATCCTACATATTACTGTATATAGCAAAAATAATTAGCTGTAAATATGATAAACTAACCAACTAGAACTTAAATAGAATGTTATCATGATGTATTCAGCCTGATGGCATGTTTTCAGTGGTTTTTTGGATGCAGATATTCATGTTTGTGGGCTCTGACCTCTGCTTCCAGAGCCAGTTTGTAGGCAGTGTCGAGCTCTCCCAGCTGCAGAGCCAGTTCAAACTTGTGTTCTGGGTCTGTGGACACAGCCAGGGCCTGCTGCTTGAAACCCTACACAACACAAGAAAACACATGACAAACAATTTATCACTTTTATATAACGGATTCTGCTCAGGTACGCACAGTGGACATGGAAACACTGAAGTGGTAAAAAAAGAGACTAAGAGAAGAGATTCTTTCCCTGCATTCATATATTTTAAAAGAAACAGAAAGAAGTGTTTTCTCCATCTGGCTGCCAGATGTTCGGTAAATGATAAACTCATCCAAATCCTGAATCCATTGTTATTGATTTCCAACAGCAAAAGTTGGGGTGCAAACATACTTGTTTCTCCAAAAAGTTGGCAACCCTGGTCCTCTGCTCCCTGGGAATTGTGGGTAGAATCTTGTCGGCCGTGCTGAAGTCCCTCCTCATGACAGCAGTTTGGTATTCAAGCACAGAGAGCAGCAGGGAGTAGCTGACCACGTTGAGTTCCTTGTCTCCAAGGTAGAGACGGTCGTCCTTGGGGATGTAGCCGAGCAGATACATGGTCCTACAGCCGAGAAAGAAGTTTATGAGAACATTTCGTGGTTTTTCAAATCCACTAGAAAAAAATTTCTTTAAACCTGATGGCGTATCACAGAGACAGATTGGTTTTCTGCTGCCGCCATACTTTATAAATAAACACCTTTACTAGTTTCACATTTATGAGTGCATCATACCTGTCCATGTGAGCAATGGTGATGATCTCTCCTCCGACATAATAGTTGAGTCTGTTAACAGAGCTGGTGTACATGAAGCAGTCTCCCACCCACACTCCTGTCTTCACCACCTCTGAGACCTCCCCCAGCACCTGGTGCAGCAACGTAACGAGAGATAGAAATAATCATTGGAAACAATAGTTTAAAACTAGAAATTACATTCAGCATCATCCCTCTGCACATTAACTGTATTCTCCAGACAAATGTCATACATGCTACAGTAAATTTGATTCAATATTATTAACTGTTGTGTCTCCACAAAACAGTACAGTTTCATTCACACCCTGAAATCGAATCCAAGTGACAACTGGTCAAAATTTAAAGACTGGACATATCCTGTTCAAGAGGACAAGTGTTTTGTGTGGCCACAGGGAACTCGATCTTTGACCTTGGACCATCAAAATGTTTTCAATAGTCTGTGATCATCTAAATTGTCTTTCAGGAATTATGCTACTTTGAGTCTCTGACCTCAAAGGCGTCCTCTATACCATCTTCGGTCATTGCTTCTTTCGACTCCATGGCTGCTGACACTTTCTCTGGCAGATAGCGGAGCACAAAGAAAGACTCATTTGTGGCGATACACACCAGCTCTCCAGAGTCAGACCAGAAAATCTAAAGACAGGAGGACAAAAGATTGTAAGAGCGTTGAAGCAATAGTCAGAGTAGCAGAGATGGTAACAGCCTTGAGAGTGTGACTCACATGTTTGGGTTGGATCTCGATACGGCGGACTAGTTCAGCGCTCTCCCAGTCGTAGAAGGCCAGACCGTTGTTTGACCTCACTCCTAGTAAGAAACCACCAAAGATACCTGTGGAGGCAATAGTACACTATGCATTACACACAAACACACACAGACAGTACACACTTTTTATGCAATGAAAGAAAATGAAGTTCACCTTCAGATCCAAAGTCAGGTTTAAAAGCCTTCTTCTCTTTAAAGTTCTTAAAGATTTTGACCATATTGCTTCCTTCTCTTATGGCATACCTGCGAATAGAATGCACATGGTCAAATAGAATGAAGCTGACCACATCAGAGAATAAAGTTAACTTCAAATATTCTATGGTTAGGACAATATCAATTCCACTTTCATCCAGGCAGACAAATTTCTCAGCTATCATAGCGCAGCATAGACCCAGTTCAGACCTGGTATTCACACTGCTCCTGATCACAAGTGGGCAGCTCTAAGCTCAGTTCTAAATGCGTCCTCAATGTGACCTGACGCCAGGAGACCTTAATGCTAACCCCTTGTGATTATATCTCTCAGGACGGATGTTAGTATCCGGTCTGAACGGGGCCATAAAGATTGGAATCAGGGAATATTGCTTCCCAAGAACACAAATAAATGTGTATTACAAAACGTCAAACTATTCCTATGAGGTGTCTGGGACTTACTGTGAGGAGTCGTGTGCCCAGATAAACTCTTGTGCTGAGCCAAAGCTCTTGTTTCTCAGGGCCATGGCAGTGTAGATGATGTACTCTCCATCTCCACACACCACAACAAACCTGCACATATACAAAGACACAACAACATTAGATACATGATAGGAGAGTCTGCTGTGTGAGAGACTCCTCAACACAGACCAACAACCCGGGGCGTCTCACCTCCCGTTGGGGCTGTGCTGGATGGTCTGGGGGTAGATCTCACAGCTGCCCATGTCTTTGACGCCCAGCAGCAGCCTCTCTCCATCCCTGACCTCAGCCTCTCCCATGGCCTTCAGGTTAGCCTGCTGCACTTCGGAGTGGCGCGCCCACATGATCTTCCCGCTGGAGTCCATCGACATGGCAGGCTCCTCCCGACCCAGCTGAGACAGAGCGGCAACCAGAGGATGAGGTGCAACGATAAGATAAAACCAGGAGAAAAATGATATAGGAGGGCACCTTTTTAATAACACAGGTCAAAAAAATATTCCTTCAGTTTATACAATACAATCTGCTATATCATTTACTCCAGTGGAGGTTACATTGTCTGCCCATAGCTGCTGTAGAGGATATAGAGGTCAGCTCCTCTATTATTTGTGGGTAATAACAACCTGAACTGCTGTTTATACAGTTTAAAATTCAATGTTTCAGTTCAATTTTCTGTTAATAAGAAATGCTGACAATATTTTCTAAGTGAGTGGTTCCCAGCTTCAGTGTTAATTGGCCCTACTGACAGAGACGAAGCCCCCAAGAGCCCATTGAAAGAACCTGAACCGGTAGGAGGGAGAAACTGCTCAGACTATTGATTATCTCTCTTCATTGATTTGAATGAGTGCAGTGCCTTATTGTTTGTGTGCTGGACGTTTTGTGCAGAGCTTTTTTATTAACAGTCTATGTTGCAGAGTGAAGTTGGAAAACTTTGTGTTCATCCTACCTGGTTTATCTATAATAGATAAAGATTTGTTAAGATGAAGAATGTTAGGGATACTGACACATGTGTGGGAGACTTGACTATAAACAAGGCACTAGAACAGTTTACCTTGATGATGATGCTGCCTTCATCATAACCAATCGCCACACTGTTGGAGCCACGCTGGCCAGAGATACACCACACCCTCTCCATGCCATAGTTGAGTGTGTTTTCCAGTCGGTAGGTGTTGGAGTGCCACACTCGAACAGTGCCTGAGGAAACACAGGGCTCACAATGAACAAAGTCGCTGCACAGACTGAGGGCTGTAGTTCTGCTCTGTGTGTGTGTGTGTGTGTGTGTGTGTGTGTGTTGTTTTCACAACCCACCATCCTCAGCGCCTGTGAGGATGATTGGCAGCCCAGGGTGGAAGCAGACGCATGTCACATTCTGGGCGTGACCCTCCAGAGTCTGAACACAGGTTTTGTTCTGGTGGATAAAGAAACACACACTTATTACACATCGCTGACAACACTGTAAGAATGATTTTGGATATTTTTTTATATATCTGTTACTAGAAGATGCATCTTTTCTAACATGGCAAAGGAATAAAAACTTAATCAATGTGTGTGTGTGTGTGTGTGTGTACCTGATAATCCCAGATCTTGACAAGGCAATCATCCGCCCCGGATATGAGGTAGGGTTTGTCTCCTCCACTGTAGTAATCAATACAGTTCACTCCCTTCTCGTGACCCTCCAGAGTGAAGTTAGGAGTCCTGGAGCCCAGCTGCCACACCTATGTCACACACAGAGTGGAAACATGCTGAAACTACGTGCACGGGAGCGTGTGTGTGTGTGTGTGTGTGTGTGTGTGTGTGTGTGTGTGTGTGNNNNTGTGTGTGTGTGTGTGTGTGTGTGTGTGACGGTGAGCCAGCAAGGATGTGTGAAGCATGTAACCAGAGTTATTTAAGAGTGTTTGATAAAGCACTTCTCTATCACTATGTTTTTTTGTAAACAGTGATAGCAAATAAGGTCTTGGTGGAGATAGTGTCAGAGTCAAGACTGGTGCCACATGTCCGCAATGTCGCTTGCCCATCCCTGTTTTTTTCATGCTGCCACACTCATTTAAACAGGAAGAACCACACTTTCTTCTCTTTGTGCCCTGCAGCAGGTTTCCTTTGTGTGTGTGTGTGTGTCTACCTTGATGGTCCTGTCCAGAGAGGCACTGGCAAACTGGTTGTTGTCTTTGGGGTTGATAACAATCTGCATGACATAGTGAGTGTGGCCCTCGAACACCTGACTACAGGCCCACTTTCTGTCCCAGTCCCACAGCTTGATCAACATGTCATCTGAAAACACATAAAACAGGACAATGAGTGTGTGTTGCTGATTATACTGCAACCCCCCCCCAATATAGAAAATGAAATACAAAGTACACATGTCCTGTGCTTGTAAACTTATTGTGTTGAGGTGAGTGCGTGCACGTCTTTCCTACCACTGCTGGTGAGGATGTAGGGCTGTGAAGGGTGGACAGCGATGCAGCGGATGTAGTCAGCGTGGGCCTCGAACATGTGAACTCTCTCCAGTGTGTTATAATTGAACACACGGATGTGCATGTCATCCTGTAGAGGGACAAACAGATTCACTGACATATCTGCCCATTAACACAGGAGAGGGGTCACTGTGAGAGGAGGGCAGAACATTAGCTGGATGTCCCAACACACAAGAACAACACACTGAGTCAATGTGGAAACATTCAAAGTAGTAAAGGACAAGAAACTGGGTGAATTCTGACCTTGAATTGCATCTATATTTGTAAATTCAAGTGAGTGGGTGCATTGATTTTTTTATTTTTTTTTTTTCAAACACAAGAGCAGCAAAACCGGATGAATACAAATATCAGGATGAAAAAGAGGACGCAGACGAAGATGACCACTTAGAGACAATGAGATTTGAGAGCTTTTGGTGATAAGGACTGTCTCTGATGTCAATGTGTTGTAAACAAAAACAAGCAATCTCCACAGTGGCATTAACTCGTCATCCTGCTCAACCCAGACACCACTTCACGCCTGAACGTTCTGGGCATGTTGTTGTTGTTGTGAACCCATCTGACCGAGATTAGCTCCAGCTCCATTCTTCACGTGTGAAAAACAAACTCTGAAAAAATGTCCAGACCCACTTTTCTGGACATTTATTAAGGAGTTCCTGTCTGCAAACAGCTCCACTGAAAAGACAGATGGAGTAAGTGAATATATACATTAATGCTCCAGTGAAGCAGGAATACTTACTGATCCAGCAATGAGCCAGTGCTTCCTGGCTACAAACTTGGCCACTCTGACCGGCAGCTCACACAGCTCGAAGGTTTTCACCATCGTCTGCACACACAAGTCAAAAACAAACGACGGTTACAAACAGCACAGGCTTTAAATACAATGTATCATCAAAAGCATGGGTGTGAACAAGCTGAAGTGATGAAGTGAATGAATGATCACTGAGAGTGATGAGTGGGCAGATCAATGTGTGACTAAGAGACGTGACGGCGACCTGTGTGTCATGGTTCCAGACCACCACGGCGCCGCTGTAGAGGCTGACCACCATCCACGGCTCTGTGGGGTGCAGGTCCACACTCTTCACCCGGTCTGATCGGGCCGTCAGCCTCCGCTTGATGTCCAATCGCAGAGGCTGAGGGGCAGAGAGAGAGAGAGAGCGAGAGAGAGAGAAACATAAGAGAACATGGGCCTCGACAAAATGGTGAAAACACAATAAGCAAACTGTAAGCAGGTTTTTATATTGAGGCTTTTAATGCTTAATATTTTGTTGGGTGTTAACATTTAAAAAAACATAGCAGGCTGCTCCATTGGTCATGGAGGGGGCGTATCTGTTGAGACATCTCATGCCACATTTCATATGCATGCCTGCTCCAGAATGACTGGGTCCTCTCAAGTCATGCCAGTGTACTTCACTCCTTCACTTTCCATGGGGTAAATGTTCTCCATAACCTTCACCGTATATCCTACATTTAATCTATCTGACTGACTGTCTGTCTCACTATCTGTCTGTCTTACTGACTGTCTCACTGACTGTCTGTCTCACTGTCTCACTGACTGTCTGTCTGTCTCACTGTCTGTCTCACTGACTGTCTGTCTGTCTCACTGTCTGTCTGTCTGTCTCACTGTCTCACTGTCTGTCTGTCTGACTGAATAAAAACTTGTCACTATGTGAAACAAAGCACTGGTGCAGTTTAACATGGTTGCAGCTGCTGGGTCTGCTGCATGTGGTGGTCTCCTGTACTGTGTGCGCGGTGTTTACATAATGAATGGAGTTGGATGACAGAAGTTACTGAGCGTCGGAACCAAGACAAACAAAGCAGAACGATGTGTTGGAGAGTTTGACTTGTTTACCATGTTTCCACGTCGCTGAGTCTCTGCGGGTCTGTCCTGTAAGAAGTGTCCGGCCTCGCTTCTGCCCTCGACGGGCTCCTTCACCGGATCTCAGCGGGGAAAGTTTCACAACCAAGACAACTAGAGTGGAAACACAGCCACTTCCGCTGTGGGGTTTCACAATAAATCCCAGAGCGATCCGAACATTGTAGACCAATCACAAACACGCCAAAGGACTGGGAATGAAACACCATTGTAATCTAATAGTCCTGATTTGGATTTTTAGATCTCACCATCAAGAGGCAAAATGAATTTGGAAAAAAGAAATGTAACTGAATACACTGTTCTAACGAGTATACTTCATTATCATGTAGACATCTAATACAACATATCTACAATATCCATACAACTGTGAAAATGAATAAATAATGCTATAAATAATGTTATGTACTTATTATTTTATATAGAAAATCTATTTATGTGCTTCTGTATCATGTTTTACCTGAATATTCAGAAAATCGGCAGAAAAAATCCATCCATCCAATAGAATGTATAATCCATCCATACATACATCCATCCATCCCATAGACCATGTAATACATCCATACATACATCCATCCATCCATCCCATAGACCATGTAATACATCCATCCATCCATCCATCTCACAGACTGTATATCTATCCATGTCAAGGGTCTCAGGGGTTCAAACCAAGTATCGACTCTTCTTATATGAATATTTTAAGTTGTTTCCTGAAGATCACCAGCAGGAGGCGCTCGTTCTTCGGTAAAAATGCCCTTACAGCTGTGCAGAAGAAGAGGGCGCAGTGAGATGCCGGAAGAAAAGAGAAAACCGAGGTAAAACCCTGAGCACGTGAAGGTGATTGAAACAACTCCCTGTTCTTGTATTGATTCATCATCACACACACACACACACACACACACGTGCTGTTCTCACCAAACTTATACACGTGCAACAACTGTTCTCTATTTACTCTCAATGCATTATGGGTATGGGCTACACTGTTGCACCACGTGTATCAAACAATATATATATATATGTCATCTGTAAGTGATAATGACATTGTTCTCCTAAAGCTGTGGGTGACTTTCAGTGACGTGTCACTGCTGCCTCCACTTTCAAATGGACATTTGGGGTTTTTAAATGATCCACTTTTATTTTGAAGACAAAGTTGTCCATGTCCGGTTGGTTCGTCCCTGTCTCAGTGTGGCTTGACTCTGCTCACTATGGCTACGTGGATGTTCCTGCTCTTCCTGCAGAGACGCAGAACATGTTGTACCTGAGAGGAAAAGAGCAACGTCACAAGTCAAACAAACCACGGCGTTTCCTCTCGTGTCTCTCTGAAAAGTGTGTCTTGGTTTGATTTTCTTTTCTTCCTGAGAGTTTCAGTTCAAACTGGAATGTCTCAGTGAGAACCATAGACTGTATATAGGTGAGAACATACCAAGGCCCGACAGTCAGCATGGAACCATTTTAAATTCCATAACGCCACATTCTTATTTGGATCTGCACCAAATTTCACACATCAGTAAAAAATATCACTCGTGTCTTATTTATTTTTCAAATCCAGGAGTTACTCTCTGGGAAAGCAGTGGAAATATCTCACAATGTTAAAGAAAGTAAAATCCATATTCCTGGATCCACCAGATCTGGATCTGCACCCGACATTGAATGGATATTGGTTGAGTAGCTTTCGCGTAATCCTGCAGACTATCGAACAAACAAACCTTCATCTCATTGTACTTCCTCTGCCATGAAGGCTGCGTTGTTATTGCTGTTTGTCTGTTTGCAGGATTTAGCAAAAACCACAAAGCCCACTTGTTAAAACTGAGTGGAAGTGTATGTACCAAGGAACCCATTAACTTCTGGAGCAGATTCAACTCAAGGTTCATTCAAGCTCTACATTAAGATGGATGTCTCTTCTGTCTGTACTCTGTGTTCATCCGTGTTTGTCCCATCTTCTGAAATTTTTCCACATGAGGTTGAAATGGAGCAGTACCTCTGCAAATTGTGTGTGTGTGTGGGGGGGGGGGGGCAGTTGAGCAAATAATAAGTGTGATGATCACAAGACACAAGAAGAAATGACAACAAATAATCCACAGTTATACGCAGCCACCTTGGCTTCTTTCATGAGGTTTGTTATCTCAACCTCCACTATCACCATGTTTGTGGTTGTCTGAAACTCTCGCCCCTGTGCTGCCCTCTAGGGGATGCATTGCTTAACTACCATGCTAATGTAAGGGACGTACTGGAGAAATTCATGGATCTTGATGAAAACCATCAGTTGTACTTAATGACTGATATGACTGAGTGTTTGAAATGTAGTGCAGCTTGGTTGAATTGAAATGGACTGGTGGGCCTTAACAAAGGTTTGCACTCTAATGAATGCCATTTCGAGCTCTCATGTTTTTGGGTCAGTCCATCCGTCCATCCGTCTGTCAGCATTCTTGTAAAATGTGATATCTCAAGAACGCCTTGAGGGAATCCTTTCACATTTGGCACAAACGTTCATTAAGATTCAAGGATTCAGTGACGTTGGCCTCACAAAATATGTTTATGTTTGTTTTAACATCAGCCTGAAGGAATGTCTTCAAATTTGGTACAAACATTCACTTGGACTCAGGTGAACTGATTAGATTTTAGTGGACAAAGGTCAAGGTGACCCTTTTATGAATCTGGAAACTGTACTGGTTGGAGGAGGCACACAGTCGCACTGCTGTCTTGTTTTTACATTGCATCAACAGGCGCCTCTCTCTTTAAACAATTGTGCACAAATATTCAAATCATAATTTAGAAGAGGAAGAGGAAACATTCTTTCCTTCTTTCTTTTAAAAGTGGACAATTAAATAAACCAGAGTTGTGTTACATGAGTTTATTCCACATTTCCATCATAAATAGACAACAACATGCAGCACATGACAGACTGTTGTTGATGTTTGTAGTTTCCATGTTATTGTGCCTTCTTAAATGTTTGTAGACAGACCTTGTCCTGCACAGTGATTTCCTGAGAAAGAAGACACAGACCTTTAGACTCAATATGATGCAACTAATTGTTACATAATCACGTTGGGCTTAGAGATAATGTTTTAGATTGTGATTCATTAACTTTTTTTATTATTATCACCCAAAGATACGAGACAAATCAGAGATCCCTAATAGAGGATCCATGATAGATGGTTGGGAAAGATTTCATCGAGCAAGTGAAAAGTTTTTGGTGTTAAACACAGAAACGCTTCATTGTGTAATGAAATATTTTACATCCCTGCGTCAGTTTTTAAACCAACGTGTCACACTCTCTCTCTTTCTCACCTGGTATAGCATGTCTCCCTCGATCCAGTGTTTCCAGCCGCGGTTCTCCTTCTCCCCCTTCTGAACGCACACCAGCTTGTCCCCTTCCCAGGTAACCAAAGTCTGTAGCCACACAAACACACAAACAATGGTAAAAATCATACAGATAACAAATAGACATGTGTAAAAAAACATAGAAGTACATGCACGGACAATTTGTAAAAACTACAGGCATACAAAGCAAAATACATAGACTCAATTCATAAATATGCACAATTAGTTAATTAAACAGAGAAAAAAAAGCAATGAATCAGTAAAACAATGATACTGAACCACTACAGCACAATGACATGTTTGAGTGACATTATCCTGAGCGCTCTCCTCATTTCGTTCTACAGAACTGAAATGTGAAAAATAAAATCAGAGAACATTCCCACCATGACTTTTCGGTTGTCCAGGCTCTTTGTGTGCTCCTCAAACTCCTCCCCTATGGTGAAGTTGACCTCGTAGTTTCTGAAGGTGCTCAGTGTCTTGGTTTCAAACTTGTCTCCGTTCTGGACAATCACTTTTGTCTGGTGCAGGTGGGAGGCGATCTTTCTGGTGGCAAAGTCGATGTCTGCGAGAACAGGACGAGCGGGATTAAAGTCAGTGGGAGTGTTGGGGACCAGTCAGTCACTTTGGTTTCTGTGAAGCAATGTGTCAATTTTCTTTTTTTTCTACAAAACTGAATCCTCATGTGCACATGCAAAAACACACACACGTAACACAACAGACACAACATTATTATGATTCCTCTCTTCCGTCTCCTCTCCACTTACAAAATGTCCTCGCTCCGAGTCAGAATGGGCCCTGAAGCGTTTCTCACCCCCCTCAGCACTGGGGTTGTCCCAAATAGATACACCCACCCTGGCTGTTCAGAAATTAATTTCGCATTTGCCCTAAAGTGAAAATTCAGTTTTTCGCAACCATTTTTACAGATGTGGCTCCTATATTTACTCATCTAAATTATATTTTTGACCCATTTTCATAAGGACCGTCATTTTGCCTCATGGTAATGAGGTTGAGGCATTCAGGATCCCCCGGATCTTGTCTGACCCGAGTGCGAGGTTGTTTTATGAATTGCAGATAGAGTCATGAATAATGAAAGTGTTTCTTGGGCCTGATTATCGACGTGGCCAAAAGGAGGAGAAGACGAATTGAGTGCTGGACTTCTTTTTCTTTTTTTTTAAGTGACGACCCTGGTCTGCTGCCTAATCCGGGGTGGGAATCTGTCTTCCCTTCTCTGCAAATCATGAGGATGAAAATGCAGAAAGGAAGTGAATCAATATTTATTTGCCGTGATAACGGACGGCAGCCGCTCACAGAGTGAGGTTAACTTGGCCTGACAGCAGCTCAATGAGGAAATGAAGCTGCGCCAAGGCGTTCCTCAGACTTTAGTCCCCCTCTCTCACTCACTCTCTCACTCACTCTCTCTCTCTCTCTCTCTCTCTCTCTCTCTCTCTCTCTCTCTCTGTCTGTTTCTGTCTCGTTCTTTGTCCGTCTGTCTCTCTCGGTCTCTGCTTCACTCATAAAGCTGCTCTCTCATTCTTTCTGTCACGCTCATTCCACATTTCAGGTCTTCCCCTCTACTTGGTTGCATCTGTCTATGGCGTAATAATGATTTTATCAGGCAGTAAATAACGGCAGCTCACCGAGGGCTTTCATGATGTCCTCAAAGTTCTCGTTTTTCACCATCTCCCAGCGTCCATTATAGTCTGCAGGCATTTTGTGTGAGAGTGGAAGTAGAGGTTTGCCTCAAGGTTCCGCTTGACACACTGATAGAGAGACAGTTCAAGTGCT